GTCCTCGGGGCACCCATGTGGACATCCATCGGGGTTCCCACCTGGTCAAGGCACCCGTTTGGGATCCTCCTGAATCACTTGGGGTGCTCCTCTGCTCAGAGCCCACATTGGAGGTCCTCGGGGCACCCATGTGGACATCCATCGGGGTTCCCACCTGGTCAAGGCACCCGTTTGGGATCCTCCTGAATCACTTGGGGTGCTCCTCTGCTCAGAGCCCACATTGGAGGTCCTCGGGGCACCCATGTGGACATCCATCGGGGTTCCCACCTGGTCAAGGCACCCGTTTGGGATCCTCCTGAATCACTTGGGGTGCTCCTCTGCTCAGAGCCCACATTGGAGGTCCTCAGGGCACCCATGTGGACATCCATCGGGGTTCCCACCTGGTCGGGGCACCCGTTTGGGCTTCTTGGGGCACCCATGGGGCGTCCCCCGGGTCCGGGACGCCCATCCGGGACATCCTCCCGCTGCAGATCTCCAGGCCGCGGTGGAGGAGGTGCTGCCCGCGCTGCAGCAGGACGGGGTCCGCGTCTTCTACCTGAGCGCCGCGTCGCCCACGCCGGGCGTGGAGGCCCTGGGACCCAGCATGGAGGAGGCCTCGGATGAGCCGCTGCCGGCCCGGCACCGCGCGGACATCACGCCCAACTCCAAGGCCATCTACATCTTCACCTCCGGGACCACAGGTGGGAGCCCAGGAGCTCCCCAACCATGACCACCCCCTTCCTCAGCTTGGGGACAAGATGGTTCCTCCTGGAACCCCTCAAGTTTGGGGGTTGTGGGGGGTCTCCTGGTGGAGGGGGAGCCCTCTTTGTGAATCAGCCTAGAAGGGTTGGGGAGGTTGGAAGGGCCTTGTGGACTCTCAGCATCATGACCATCACAAGGTCAGGTTCCTCCTAGCCACATCCACATGAGGCTTGAGGTCCTCCTAGAAGGGTCTCCACCACCCCCATGGGTGTCTTCCCAGCTCTGCCTCCACGAGGACAGGGAGGAAGGGGCCCCTGGGAGCTTCCAGATCCAACCCTGATCATTGCAGGCCCATCCGGACCAAGTTCCTCCTGGCCATGCCCATGTGAGGGTTGGATATCACCAAGGATGGAGAATCCCTGGGTCTCTCCCTGGTTCTATCCCAAGCTGGACCATTTGGACCAGGTTCCTCACGGGATTTTTTCCAACACCATTTGAGGACCTCCAAGAACAGAGATCCACCATCTATCACCTGCCCCATTGGGACAAGCAGAGATGGGACCTCCTTGATACAACCTTGACCAAAGGAGGTCCATCCCTGGCCAATGCAGGTCCGTTTGGACCAGGTTTCTCATGGCACGATCTCCAGAAGGTCTGAAGACCTCCAAGGGTCACAACCAACCGCATCTTAACCCCTCACATGGAACTCCCACCGGGAAAGGATTCCACCCTCACATCCAACCTCCAATGAGGGTTTTCCCACCTTGTCCTTCTCCCGATGTTCTTTCTTTTTGGCCACAGGGTTGCCCAAAGCTGCAGTGATAACTGAGAAGAAGCTGATGATGGTGGCCAACATGGGCCGGCTGTGCGGCTTACGGGCCAGCGACGTCCTGTACACGGCCCTGCCGCTCTACCACTCGGCCGCGCTGCTCGTCGGGCTGGGAGGGTGCCTGGAGGTCGGTACGTGGCACATGGCCCCGAGGGACCCATCGGCGCGAGGAGGGCACCCAAGGATGGGCAGAGGGAGGAATGGGTGGGAAGGGAGGAGAGAAGGAGAGAAAAGGTGAGAGGAGGCTGGAGATAGAAGGTTGGAGATAGAAGGATGGAGATAGAAGGATGGAGATAGATAGAAGGATGGAGATAGAAGGATGGAGATAGAAGGATGGAGATAGACAGAAGGTTGGAGATAGACAGAAGGTTGGAGATAGATAGAAGGATGGAGATAGAAAGAAGGTTGGATAGAAGGATGGAGATAGAAGGTTAGAGATAGAAGGTTAGAGATAGAAGCATAGAGATAGATAGAAGGTTGGAGATAGAAGCATAGAGATATACAGAAGGTTGGAGAAGGATAGAAGGGCGGAGATAGAAGGATGTTTGCTGATAGAAACCAAGGAGAAGGAGATAGATGACAAAAATGGGCCAGCGACGTCCGAAAGGGAGAGAGTATGGAGGAAGAAAGGGAGAGAAAATGAGAGCTATCTATAGTGACAGATGGTAAGTGTGGAGATGGATGGATGGATGGATGGATGGATGGATGGATGGATGGATGGATGGAGAAATGTTTGAAGATTGGGGAAGAAAGACGTGAGGAAAGGAGAGAGGAATATAGGAACATATCCATCATGCTGGATGGATAGATGTTTATGGAGATGGATGGGGACATGCATAAAGGAGGGAGAACAAAAAGGAGTGAAGATGAAGGGTGCTGATGGGTGGGGATGGATGGATCAATCTTGGGGGAGTTGGATGGATGTTTATGGAAAAACGTGTCTGTATGGAAGAAGAAAGAAGGGAAAGAAAGAGAGAAAAAGTGGGAGCTGTGGAGACAGGCAGGGGGATGGATGGATAAAGCTCATTTTGGTTGAAGATGGGGAGCTCCAACATGGATTGAGGATCACAGGGAGGGAGGGGATGGCTGGATGGTGCCCGTCACCCTGTCGTGTCCCCCCAGGAGCCACCTGCGTGCTGCGGGCCAAGTTCTCCGCCTCGCACTTCTGGGACGACTGTCGCCGCTACAACGTCACCGTCATCCAGTACGTGGGCGAGCTCATGCGCTACATCTGCAACACCCCCGAGGTAACAACCATTGAGGGGACGGCGGGGAAATGACCCATCCTGTTGGAGGGGACAACAACCCATCGCTGCGGTCCCCCGCAGCGCCCCGGCGAGCGGGACCACAGCGTGCGCATGGCGATAGGCAACGGCATGAGGGCGGAGGTGTGGAGGAAGTTCCTGCAGCGCTTCGGGCCCGTCACCATCCGGGAGTTCTACGGGGCCACCGAGGGCAACGCCGGCTTCATCAACTACACGGGCAAGATCGGCGCCGTGGGGAGGGCGAACGCGTTCCTCAAGGTGAGCAAAGGGGGTTCTCCTTGGGGCAACCGATGATGGCCATAAGGTCAAGTTGAAACAAGAGGCCCCCATATGGCCTACATCAAGGTGGCCTGTCCTCAAGGAGTCCCCTCTGCTGGGGTGGCCAACGCTGTCCAACCGGTGTTGACTCCATGGCTCCTACGAGGCCATTTTTGGGTTGTCCCTGTCATGTCACCCCCATCCAGCTCCAACAACCACCCACAAAATGACATGGTCGCGTTTCTCCACCCTCTTCCCACAACCTGTCACCGTTGCGGGTCTCGGTCCTCCACCGTGGGTTGTCACTTCGAAAAACACTGGCGATGAGCACAGCCCAACTCTTGAATACAATCGATTAATCTGGATATAAAGGGGTTATCAGCTTGGAGGGAAAGGAGTTGGAGGAAGGAAACTTCCACCCAGGATATTTGAAGCTTGGTGACTGCAGAGGACAATCCTCAGGCTTCATGGGTGACAAGGGACCCCATTCCAAATCATTCTTTGGTGGCCTGGAGCTTTCAGAGACCTTGTTCTTCTTCATGACATGTTCCTCCTCCTTCTCTGCTGCCCAGAAATTCTCTGCCTTTGAGCTGATCCGGTACAACGTGGAGCGGGACGAACCCGTCCGCAACGAGCAAGGGTTCTGCATCCCCGTCCGCCGCGGTAAGAAGGGCCGAGCGGCATCTCCAAGCACCAGCCGGGGCCCGGAGGCGACATTCCCGGGAGCCGACGGCGTTCCCGCATGGCCCGTAACCTTCCTTTCCCTCCCCAAAGGTGAGGCCGGGCTCTTGGTCATCAAAATCACCAAGAAAACTCCTTTCCACGGCTACGCCGGAGATCCCGAGAAGACCAAGAGGAAGATCCTGAGGAACGTCCTTGAGAAAGGCGACGCCTTCTTCAATAGCGGCGACCTCCTCGTGATGGACCATGAAAATTTCCTTTATTTCCAGGACCGGGTTGGAGACACTTTCCGGTAACTTTTTCCCCATTTTTGCATTTCTGGTTTGGCCAGCGGCGCTGGTGTTGGGAAAGGCGAAAGTGGATGTGTCCATGAAGCAGATCCAAGCACCCTGATGAGCCAGAGAGGGACAGAAGCAGTGGCAAAAGAGAGAGAATGGGATTTTCCACCCCCAAATCCCTTCTCATGGTCTCTCGCCTTCTCTTCCTAGGTGGAAAGGTGAGAACGTGGCCACGACGGAGGTGGAGGACATGCTAGCGCCGGTGAGCTTCATCCAGGAGATCAACGTCTACGGGGTGTCTGTGCCGGGTAAGGACCCGGGTGAGAAATCGGGTGCTCTAAATGACCATCCGGCTACGTGGCAACCAAAAAGGTGAAAATGGGACTTGGTCACCCAAAATTCAGGGTTGTTCTGGACATACACTGTGAGGGTGACAGAGCCCTGAACAGGCTGACCAGAGAGGTTGTGGAGTCTCCTTCTCCAGAGATCTTCAAGACCCATTCGGATGCCATCGGGTGCCACGTGCTCCGGGTGTCCCTGCTGGAGCAGAGGGGCTGGACTAGATGATCCCTAGAGGTCCCTTCCAACCTCAACCATTCCATGATTCTGGGTTGTGGAGTCTCCTTCTCCAGGGATCTTCAAGACTCAACTGGATGCCACCAGGTGCCATGTGCTCCAGGTGTCCCTGCTGGAACAAGGGGTTGGACTAGATGATCCCTAGAGGTCCCTTCCAACCTCAACCATTCCATGATTCTGGGTTGTGGAGTCTCCTTCTGCGGAGATCTTCAACACCCACCTGGATGCCACCGGGTGCCACGAGCTCCGGGTGTCCCTGCTGGAGCAGAGGGGTTGGACTAGATGATCCGTAGAGGTCCCTTCCAACCTCAACCATTCCATGATTCTGGGTTGTGGAGTCTCCTTCTGCGGAGATCTTCAACACCCACCTGGATGCCACCAGGTGCCACGTGCTCCGGGTGTCCCTTATGGAGTAGGGGGTTGGACTGGATGATCCCCAGAGGTCCTTTCCAACCTCAAGGATTCCGGGATTCGCAGGGTGCGAGGGCAGGTGTGGCATGGCGGCCGTGTGCCTCAGGGCCGGGATGAGCTTCCAGGGCGAGAGCTTCTACGCGCAGGCCAAGGAGTCCCTGCCCAGCTACGCCGTCCCCCTCTTCGTGCGCATCCAGGTGAGCGCCATCGGCACGCGGTTTTATGCCATTTATCCCACAATTCCCCTTATCAATAACGCCGGCGGCCCTGAGGATGATGATGGTCCTACCATGCCAATAACAGCATCCATCACGGTGTTGATAACGGTGTTGATGACCAATATCCATGACAATCACAGCGTGAATCTCGCTGTGTCAATAACGATGTCAGTTGACCAGTTCATGGTAATAACAGCGCCAATAACGGTGTTGATCACCAATATCCACGACAATCACAGCGCGAATCCTGCTGTATCAATAACAGTGTCAGTCAAACAACTCATTGTAATAACAGCGCCAATAACGGTGTTGATCACCAATATCCAGGACGATCACAGCGCGAATCCCGCTGTATCAGTAACGGTGTCAGTCAATCAACACTGATAACGGTGTTGATCACCAATATCCACGACAATCACAGCGCGAATCCTGCTGTATCAATAACGGTCAAACAACTCGCCATAATAACAGCGCCAATAACGGTGTTGATCAGCATTATCCATGACAATCACAGCACAAATCCCGTTGTATCAATAATGGCATCAGTTGGTTAATCAACTCATGGTAAAAACAGTGCCAATAATGGTGTTGATCACCAATATCCATGACGATCACAGCGCGAAACCCGCTGTATCAATAACGGTCAGTCGACCAACTGATGGTAATAACAGCGCCAATAATGGTGGTGATCATCAATATCCATGACGATCACAGCGTGAATTCCGTTGTATCAATAACAGTGTCAGTTCCACAACTCATCATAATAACAGCGCCAATAACGGTGTTGATCACCAATATCCATGACGATCACAGTGCGAATCCCTTTGTATCAATAGTGGTGTCAGTCAACCAACTTGTGATAATAACAGTGCCAATAACGGCGTTGATCACCAAGATCGATGACAATCACAGCGTGAATCCCATTGTATCAATAATGGTGTCAGTCAACCAACTCATGGTAATAACAGCGCCAATAACGGTGTTGATCGCCAATATCCATGACTATCACAGTGCGAATCCCTTTGTATCAATAGTGGTGTCAGTCAACTAACTTGTGATAATAACAGTGTCAATAACGGTGTTGATCACCAATATCCATGACAATCACAGTGTGAATCCCACTGTATCAATAATGGCGTCAGTCGACCAACGCTGATAACAGTGTTCATCACCAATATCCATGACGATCACAGTGTGAATCCCGTTGTATCAGTAAGGGTGTCAGTTGACCAACTCACGATAATAACGGTGCTGATAACGCTGTTGATCACCTGTATCCATGACGATCACAGTGCGAATCCCGCTGTATCAGTAACGGTGTCAGTGGATCGACGCCGATAACGGTGTTGATCACCACGTGCCGATGACACTGTCGGTTCCTCACAGGAAGCCCTGGAGATCACCGGGACCTTCAAGCAGCGCAAAAGCAACCTCATCAAAGAGGGGTTCGACCCCAACGTCATCAAGGAGCCGCTCTTCTTCCTCGACGAGACGAAGAAGACCTACGTGCCCTTGAGTCCCGCGGTCTACGCGGACATCCTGGAGATGAAGCTCAAACTGTAGGGAAGGGGAGGGAGACACGGAGCGGGTCCCATGCCCGGCCTTGGCGGGGTGGGGAACCGCCACCAGCGGGTCTATCCGATGTTAATCAAAGAGGTTTTTTCCTAACGAAGCGCTACCCATGGGGAGCTGATGAAGCCGTTGGGCGAGGAGGACGCCGGGATGGCTCTCACCTTTTCCAACGCAGCTGAGGAAATTAAAACTCTTGGTAATTGCTGTTAATCAGGTCCCCTTGCAGCTCCTGTCACAAGGCCGGAGCATCCAGCGGAAGATGGGGATGAAGTTGCCGCTTTGCGTCGCCGTCCGGGCAAATCGCGTCCCGAATCCTCTCCGACGACTCGGAAATAAAGCCGGTTCCTGCACCGTGGCCACCCGCAAGGCCCCAAAAAGGGCTCAAATGGGATACCCCGAAACGCAGCAGCGCGGTCTGCTCGACACCGGAGCGCATTGGGATTGCTTTGGGAGGCCGGGATTGCTTTGGGATCCGCCGGACGAGCCGGGATCCCTCTACGGGAAGGGGGACACACTCGGAGCTCCCGCGTTGACCGACGTCGCAAAGACGCAACAGCCTCAGGCTCCCGTCCCAACCCCATCCCAACCATTTTGTTCAGAAAACAACCACTTTTTCCCTCTTCCCAACACAGTTCCCTGCCCGATCCTTCTCTGATTTGCAGATCTCCAGAGATTATTCCTTTTCTGGAGATCTTCCAAACCTGGATACAATGCTCTAGGTGACCCCACGCGCGCAGCGGGGTTGGATTAGATGGTTTCTAAAGGTTCCTTCCAACCTTAAGGGTTTTGTGATCCTATTAGTGAGGAGAAGAGGTTCGACCGGGACACCAGCCCCTTCCCTCCTCTCCAGGCAACGCCGCTTTCCGTAGAAAAGACCATTTTTATTTACAAGCCTCCGCGGAGGAGGGAGAGGAGGCGGAAAAGGGGGGGTAAAATAGAGGAACCCGACTCACTCGCGGTCGTGGAGCATCTGCAGCCCGAGGAGCTGGAGCGGCTCCTTGGGCGGGC